TTATTTTCAAGGGAATTGGTAAACTAACTCCCGGGAGCGGTTTTTGTCAACGTCAACCATCCGTTTTCATGATGATCAAATAAAACAGTGAGAACAGAGGGCAAAATATCAAGGAGCAACTTGTACGCAGGGTATGACAAACGCTAAAGAGGTCCTAAAATTAGCATAGGTCTAAGCAAAAAATTCGTCTATTTTTCAACTGCAGGTCTAGGGCTACTTAATGATATGACTATTAAGATACACAAACGACGAGCGATTTCAGTTGAAGGAAGGATTTATTAATTGAAATTACAAGATCCTCTAGCATAAAAGTAATTAATGTAGTAACACTTGTGATTGTTATCCGGATTGTGGTTATAGAAGATATCATTACTAGCATCTGCAACACCCTCAAAGATTCGATCAAAAACATTGAACTGCTTATATTATATTAAAGTATGAATGGCTCAAGGACTTAAAGTCTTTGATTGGCTTGGCAGTATATTCAGTTCAAATTTTCGAAAGAAGCTACTTATTAACTTACTTAAATAGCCAATAGAAAGCAAATGTTTAGGTTCGAGTTTATTAACGCAACAAAGACAGGACGTAAAGATTCCTAATAGTAAAACAATCAACACTTTAATTCTGAAAATATTGATTAAAACACAAGCTTCCGTGTTCCTATTCATGTAAAAGTAATGTGTACAAAGAAAGTATGAAAGCTTATATTTTAATGAATATTTCAATAAGGTCTTTAATGACTAAAGCATTTAACACATTTATTAGGCCTACTTCGCCGTGCAAACCTTCAAACAATTTCATTTTTCTACTGGTTATATCAAACTAGTATGACCCATCACAATGGGAAGCGCTTAGAGGCCCTGTTGGTGTTAAGCGCATAATATGAGTCTAACATATTACCACCCTTTTTTCGGAATATAAGGTAAAAATTCTTTTGTGTCGCCAGGTGACCTCCGTAACGACTGGTTTCAGCCGACTATACAGTGCCTAAGCTGTCAAGCATAGCTAATGAGTGGGACCAGGGAGGAGCAGAATTCGCGCCCTGATTCTGTCTCTCTTCATTGCTTGCTTTCGTTACAGTGTCCAGTTTTTTTTTGTGTGTTTTTTTTTTCAATTTCAGACACCAGTACGTGGCATTCACGTCCATATCTAAACCCATGTTATCCTATATATCGAGCATTTGGCTCCATATAATTCCCCGTTCGTCACATTTCCATATTTCTCTCGCTTCCATCATATCGTCTGGGCTTTCACCCCATGTTACTGTAACATGGTTTTTGACGTATTTCACCCAGACTTTTAAGCGACTACCTATCTATATATATATATATATTAATTGTATTTTACAATTTTAATTAAATTTGTGTTATATATTTTGTATACATTATGTCATATAATCATTTTGGAAACTTTTTTTTGGGGGGGGGGTGGGGGGTCAGCTCAACACGACATATATATTTTGTGAGATTGCTGACCTCCTATTTCTGTATTTTTTTATTTTGTATGTATCTTCGTCATATTATTCACAATTTTTAATAAATGACAATTTTATCCCATTCATGCGTATTGCGTTGTTTGCTTGTGTAGCTTAGTGGGTTGTGTATTGGAGAAGCCTGGGGACACAAATATTATTATTATTTTCGAAAAGTAGCTCATCTCTGTTGGTGTTTGAATATACTAAACGTTTAAACTTTTGATCACAACACAAACAATTTCACGGTAATGAAATTTGTTTGTGTTGTGATCAAAAGTTTAAACGTTTAGTATATTATTATTATTATTATATTGTTACCCACTTATACTGCTTCCTCCCATTATTCAATTGGAATATTTTCAAATAATTTAATTTCGCCACTTCCCCTAATATTTCTTTGATAAAATAAAAAATATATTAAAAAAATCCTGTCACACAGACATTCTAAGTCATGCCTACTGGAAAAAATTATTAAATTCTTTGTACTTTCCGTAACCCTGCAGCATGTTTGTGTCAGTTGTACCAAAGTTAACTCCAATTGGCCTTTTAATCGGAGATTAAGCTAAACAATACAGGTAACTAAATTCCATTGGTTTTATGCAACATTGCATTTCTTGCGTTATCACGATATTCGTTCATACTTAACACGACCCTAAGTGTAGCACTATAACAGACAGGTTCAACAAGCCTTATCCTCATCCTTTGTTCAAAAATATTCCAAAAAGAGATTGGCTAATATAAAAAGGGGCTACAAAAGGTTGTCGAATTAACTGACATGTTCCACGGGTCTTACTTTTATAGATACAAAAGAGTACGTCCCTTATTATTATGTTTCCACTTAAGCAAGCATAAATTCCCAGACGGTTGTATCATTTGTACAATTTTTCTGAAATACAAATGTATCAATTGTATTAATTGGCTGGGTCTCAAATTGTGACTAGGATCATACAGTAGGGACTTAAAATTCTGAATCAAACAAAAAAAATGTGACATTAATACGGCGGTCGTGCCAATATCATCCACAGGCATTTACCTGTAAACAAGTTATATCTAAACTATCTTAATTCAGAAGTCGCATAGATCAACGGTTCTTAATTCACTAAGTCCAATGACTTGAGTAACCTTGGCAACCATCATTTCTTGTACGATCTTGACAGTTTCAGGTAATTTTGCTATTTTGATTGTATGACTCAGCGTATCCCAGACGGTAATAAAGCATACGAATCCCCTAAGATACAGTACACTTAAAGCGAAACAGCAAACGCCATCACAATTGCCAGACAGGCATACACTTAGTAATTTAAGAAACTAGACCTAGAAATATTAAAATAAACACTCATTATATAAAACACAAACCGCCTGATTTGCATATGATTCAGAGAATCTTTATACTGTGATCTATACATATTTTTATGTATGCATATTTAAATATTTTTTTTCGGATAATTTGGTTGATTATCATGTGTGTACCGATAATTGTAGGTGCTATGAGTGCGTGTAGGTTATGTGTAGGCCCTGGTGTGTCGACCTATGTGGGTGTGTAAACCTATATGTGTAGGTGTATAGTTGTGTGTCTGTGTCTGCTAGCGTGATTCATAACATTTTGAGTGTGACTGCATGAATTTTCAGAAGAAACTGTACAACATTTTATTCCTTTGGGTGAAAATCTACAATGTAATTACGCTATCCCCTAAATAGATACGGTACCGTACTGTACAACCCCGTTAGGCCTACTTCCCCCTAGGCCTGTGTGTTTATAACTGATAGACAATCTGACATGATTATAAGAGGAGGCTGTCATGAAAATGCCTGGTCTACAAAAATCACATGAATGTTCATAATTTGTTTTTATATTTATACTTCACTCATTCCACTCTTCTTATTCTGTGAGGATTATGCGATGTTAAGTGAAAAGAAAATAGCCTGGACTGACTACAAACAGGCCTAATGTAATTAAAGCGCCACCTGGTATTATCTTGTATAGTGTTGTGAATTCTGTAGGCTTATGTATTTACCCTTACGCCTCCATGGATATAATAACTATCACGAATACTGTACGTAATAAAATGTTTTAGACAGTTTATATTAAGGCTATCGTATCGCTGGCCAGCTTTCTTATGGAGGCCTTTTTATAATTACGACTCAATAGCAATAATTAATAACATTCCATTGACTGCTACCAAACTGTAGAGATTATTCAAGCAACATGACATACTGAAGGGCGTCCCCTAGCAATACAGGTTCAGTACTTACTTAACATTATTTTGCACATTAGCTTTCGGTTTTACACGCTTTATTTAGCAACACTACCAGGAGATTAGGCCTGTTGATGAGGGGAACATGCTGACTAATGACATCTTGTTTAAAGGGTGACAAACTGGGTTTATTGTTTAAGCCCTAAGAAGACTGAGGGTCGACGCGGGCCCCCACCAAGGGGTGTCAAATATTATTAAGGCTAGAGGTGTCTCGTTGTGTGCCTCTATATCAACAATTTACGTCATAAGTGACGTCAACATACACGTAGGCCTATTAAATGTAAGCTAACATATTATAAATAATGGTTCGTGTTTTCAACATAACGAGATCTACCTAAGCAAGATTCTTTCAGTTATCGCAAAACAATAAACTTAAAATTAGGTATACGATTTAAAAGGGGTACAAGTAGACCTTAATGTGCAAGTCTTTATCGTGAAAAGCAACGCACGTAAAATTAAAGGGCCACTGAATAATCTCTTGTTAATAATAATTTTAAAAAAGCACGCACCATGCGATATTAGTCAGTTAATTATCTGTGAACCTTTTTTTAATCCTTGATGCTGCTTTTTGGCATATTGTTTAGTTAACTCTATTTTTCTCTTCTTTTTTCTAAGTCATTCTTCTCATTATTTTCACTTCTTATATTTTTGCTCCTCAGCATCATTATTATAATAATCATCGTCATCATCGTCATCGTCATCATCACCATCATTATCGTCATCATCGTCGCCATCCAGAGATAGGCCTTTATATTTTCGTAGTTACATATTATTTATTAAGCATATTCTTTGTTTTTTGTGTTATGTGTTTTTGCCAAGAAAACAAATATCATATTATACAATGTATGAGACGAAATAAATCAAATCTTAATCTGAATCATAATGCAAATGATCACCAACACCACCATCATCATCATCACAACTATCATCATCATCCTCATCACAATTATTATGATTCTCATCAGTATCATTATTATTACCATATAATCATCATATAATTACCATCATTATAAATCATGATTATCATCGCCATCATATCACTATCCTCATAATTGATGTTCGCAAACATCATTATCATTGTAAACACCATTATCATCATTATTATCATTATCATCATCATAATCACCATCATCATCATCATCATCATTATCATCATCATCATCATCATCATCATCATCATTATCATCATCTTCATCATTATAACCATCACATCAGCAGCAGCAGTAGTAGTAGCAGTATAAGTACTTTCTCTATTTTTTTTTATCATGCAGGTGAGCCAGAATTCAAATATGTAGCTAATATGCACGGGAACGAGCCTTCCGGACGCCAGTTGCTGCTATACCTTGCACAATACCTTTGTGATAAGTATCTAGAAGACGATAGTAGAGTAATAACCATCATCAACAGTGTTAGAATCCATCTGTTGCCTTCTATGAACCCCGATGGGTTTGAAAAAGCCTGGAAAATATATAACGAAACAGTAAGTTGGATAGGCCTAAAGGCAATTGCTCAATCTTAGAATATAGTGACTCTCAAGGGAGCCCTGATACTTTCATAAACAATACATGCAGATGTGTACAAAATAAATGTATCATACAGATAAAAAAAAACAAAAACAGGTTAATTACATATTTAAATTCAGTGGAGATATCTAAATTTTGGAATATCTAAAAAAATGGGATTGGAAAATGTACCTCCTTAAAAAATACTCCTTATTCATTAATTTACAATTATTTATACAAATTTTATACAATTATTATAAATATTTTAGTTACTAGTACGGTAGTAATTAAAAGTTTTAAAATTCAGTATTTATACACATATGATTTTTTCGATTTTTTCGCTTTTTTTCGCTGTGATTTTATATTGTATTTATTGTATGCTCCCTGTTATTGGCGTTTTTGCTGTTGTTGGGGGGGGGGTGTGAAATAAAATGAAATAAATTAAAATAAATATGATTTATAAGATTGAATGACAAAATTAATTAATAAACTAAATTAATAAGATTGGTGTGTCAGAAACCACGTTTTCAATTATGTATATTTTTGGGCGAGTCGAGTGGCCGAGCGGTAAGGCAGGGGCGCCGATAGCAACAACCTTGACATCGGTGCTGGTTCCAGCAGCTCCTCGCCCATGGTTCGGTTGGTATAATCAAGTCTTCTCGGACAAGGACTTAAAATTGAGGTCCAGTGTATACATCTGGCTCGTGTACACCTTAAAGAACCCATTGCATCTTTCGGAAGAGTAGGGGTTACCCCGATGTTATGGTTCATTTCAGCTCCTGTCGTTGTGGGCCTGTAGGCCTATCTACCAAGAAGCGCCTCTCTACGGCTGCTAGGTAGTCACGGACCACGCAATTCAGCACAATAACGCTGCAAATTATGGGTTATTCTCCTATTTTATCTTTACCTCCTACCTTTATTTTATGTATAATTTGGACAATAACAGTTTTTGAATTTCAATCATGAATTAACGAAATATTGTTTTAATTTGATAACTCAGGGAAAGGTTCCATCGCTATATGGAAGAAGTAACGCCAATGATGTGAATCTCAATCGGAACTTTCCTGATCTGAACGCCGTAATGTACGATAACGAGCGTAGTGGAGGACCGAATCACCATCTGAGACCAAGGATACTACCTGCAGATGTAAGTTGACTTATTTTACCAATCACCTATAGTATATAGGCCTAGGCCCATATGCCCTGTCGAGTTAATATGATAGATGTTTACAGTTATAATACAACATAGAATACGGTACCCCTTCTCCCAGATTTAGTTTTTAACACTGCTTTGCTATGATAAAATAAGTTAACTTTCAGTGCAACACGAAAATCGTCAAATTCACCACCAGTAGTTTAAATGGTGCGAAGAGTATAATATAAACAGATAAGTTTTCTAATTAGATACAAAATATTTCCCCATTCTATAGTTTTAAGTTAAAATCCAACAACTTACAGAACTTTAAATATACAAGATAAGCAGTCACGTACAGAGTTTTATTATTCAAATCTACTATCTCAATACCAGACGGATTTTTAAAAGATTGACGAATCATTACGCATCTGGGTTCAAAACCACAATATTTATTTTTAAATCAATACCATATTAGTAAACGCCTGGTTGTCTGGTATATTTTCGTCGCAGTGACCAGAAGTTTACCTCCATGCACTTTTATATATTATTCATTCGCTATACCATTGACAATTCGATCATGTGGTACTCGAAGTGCCGATTTAGATTGAATCGTCTTTATGAATGATGATAACCGGAAAACTTAATCAAATGAATGGCTTTGCTGCAATCAAAACTTGCAAACACAATTGTTACTGAAATACTCAACTTTAGACCAATATGCAAATAAATTAATTGCTTGCTATAGAATACTTATTATTTTAAGTAATCAAAGTAACGGACATACAGAATGTATTAATATACCATCTATCATTGATACTATATTATTCTCAGAGGAGCTTCAGATGCCGGATATTGGGATGTGTAAGAATTGTTGTGCTTGTGCCCTTACTGCGCAAATGATTTTAATTTGCCAAACATACTACAATATTACATTCCCAATGGAGACCGTACTAAACAGCTGTTTGAAAAGAAGTTAAACTGCTGAAATATTACTGATTAAGTTTTGGCGTTATCTTTGCCTTGTATATATTTTATATTCCCTGACTGATAATTCACTGAAACAAAACAAACGTAGAATTAGTGAATGTTCATCAAAAGTTATAGGTGATGAGTATTGTCGAATTATTGTATTTAAATTTAAATGACTATCTGTATTTTAACTTCGTCGATGTTAAGTCGTCGATGTCATCGTCGTCATTGTCTACGTAATCTTCATAATCGTCCTCATCATCATCATCATCATCATCATCATCATCATCATCATCATCATCATCACAATCATCATCACTATCATTATCATTGTCGTCATTGTATATCATTATTTTTTATTAGGCTTATTATTCTAATTATTCGGGTTAAATTTTTCTATTAATAAGTCTTCTACAACAGTAATCTTGGATCCAAAATGACACTGAGCATCCTCATGTGGTGACACTTGTGTCTCATGCATCAGGGTGTCACACGTAGTCTGAACCTAATACACGTACGACGAAGCGTTACTTGTGATGTGCATAGCTAGCCATGCAGATGCTCCTAATTTACTTCAAGCTATGGTGAGATAATCTGAACATGGTGTGACAGAGATTTCAAATGTCAAGATTGTATGGCAGTAGATAAGAATCCTGATGTAAGATCCAGCACTTCTTAATTTTTTTTAAACTGATTTTCGACCCCTCAGATCCAACCAGAGACTATAGCCATCATGACGTGGTTAAGAATGTACCCGTTCGTACTCTCTGCAAACATGCACGACGGTCAGATGGTGGTCAACTACCCGTACGACAAGTCCCGCGACCCGATGGGTCGCTACTTCTATAGCATGTCTCCAGATGACTCTGTCTTCCGTCATCTTTCTTTAGTATATTCAAAGAATCACGAAACAATGAGTACCCGGCCTAAAACATGTTTCGGTTACGGAGAAGGGTTTCCAGATGGGATAACAAACGGCGCTTCGTGGTACAGTGTTGAAGGAGGTAAAGTATTAATTAGCTGGCTGACTTGAATTATAATATAGTACCGGTATGGTCTCTGTAACTGATGACTACGTACATCTTACAAGTTTAGGGGAAAAAAAAACCAAAAAAAGCGGTAGTTCAACTTAAATGCTTAGTATAAGGCCTACACGATTTTCATTTCCTTCCTTAATTGTCTGAAGGTTGTCACGATTTTTTTTTCTCTTGAAAATGGAAGATTGGTTCATTAATATCTTAATTGAGCATAACGCACACAGTTTTACTGTGTACCGGGCCAATTTAAGCTTAGTCGATTAAATCAAAATTGGCAACAGGTGAAACTGAGAAGAGTTTATTATCAACAGCCAAATCAACAGCCAAAGCCTGCCACTAAATAGGAATGAACCTGCATTCCCCAACATAGACGACTAACTTGTCAAGAGTCGCAAATCGTTCTGTTTGAAACCAGAACAACCGAGGATAGATTCGTGGACATGTTTTGGTTTCTAAAAAGTTGCTTGCTTATATTTTGTATAAGGCTGTTAAAACCGTTTTATTGAAAAGTAGAACGAAATTACTTACAGCCTACATCACTTGCTACATAGTGTAACCTTTGCATAGACCACTCAGGAGCATAAAACTTAAGGATGTTAGAAGTGACAAATCTGCAAATCTGAGAGAGAAAATGAATTATTTTGATGTGTGATCAATTTCAAAAAGACTAAATGTTTAAATGGGTTTCCAGATTTTATCTGCTGTTTTCTCTTAATATATAACTTTCTAACTTATGTCTAAATTTTTCGGCAAATTAGGTATGCAAGATTACAATTACCTTTCATCGAATGCGTTTGAAATCACGCTGGAACTTGGATGTAAGAAATTTCCTAATGAAGAAGACCTCGAAAGTAAATGGTACGCTAACAAAGAAGCATTGTTGGCGTACATAGAAGCAGTGAGTTTACTTATATCATAAGCATACTTGAGCACTGTACACGCCTGCACTTAGTCGTTAATTTAATGTCTCGAACTTTACTTCACGCCTTAAGTCTGCACTTCAGTATCACGTTACTGGTATTAATATAAGCCTCTATTAATTTCAGTTATAGCTTAATGTAACTTTTACAGTTACAGCTAACAGGCCGGACTAGGTATAAATATGTAGCATAGAGCACTGCAGACTAACACACGAGCCTTCACGAAGTGTCGTACTTCCAGATGACAATGGAGTACAATACACTGCCTGAACAAGCTCGTATACATTTTAGACAGTGCTTCTACCACATGTATCCCTGTTTATCAATAGACTATAACACGATAATCAAAATTATTTTATAATGAATCTAATAATAATTATTACGGCGCCTGGATTTCTGAATATTATTTATTCTTCTAATTTTCATGCTCTATGCGTAGACCTATTTTTTTCTGTTTCATGATTTTATACATAGTCCAGCTCAATTTTATACGATTTTTAAAGTTATGTTGTATATGCCTATTCCATAATAAAAGACTTTAGGTTAAGCTTCGATTGGGGCTTGCTTTTAAATAAATGGCACCAATCTTTATAATAATACACTAAAAACAACTCAACAAATCTAACACTTCATTCAACTTTCTATAACCTGATTCTAGATACACATGGGCGTAAAAGGAAGAGTTACTGATCTTCAAGGCAACGCGGTTTCAAATGCCGTTGTCAAAGTCACAGGTCCAAGGTATCAACACGATATTACAACAGGTAATTTTGACTGGAACAAAACAGTAGAAAGTTATTATGATAGTCCTCAGAGTGATATGGGCCGAAACAAAATGTAATGATGACAGGGGGTCGAACAGAGATTATTCAGAAAAACAGCATAAAGGAAAAAACACTGTGGAGCTGGAAGAAAATGATAATGAAGAGAGAAAGTACGATGAGAAAAGTATGGAGAGGAAGGAGACGGGAGGAGAGGGGGGAAGACGGATGTGGAATTAATGGTATGGTAAAATGACAGAGTAAACATGAAAGAGCAAGTTGATCGTAACGAAATATGCATTTTCATTTGTATTTTCTATATTTTGCTTTTCATAATTCATTCGGCTAATTTTAGTTCATTCATTGGTATCTTACTCTCTTAATTGTTTAGCTGCTGATGGCGATTATTGGAGGTTGTTAATTCCAGGCGCATACTCCTTAACTGTTGAAGCTCCCGGATTCAAGCCACTCAGTGAATCGGTAACCGTGATGGATAGTGCGCCAACTACTGTAGACTTCGAATTAATAAGAGAGGACGTTATCATACCTGAAAGTAGGCCTGCTGTCAATAAAGTTTTCTCTCAAAATGACAAAACAGTCGTTGATGGTGGCACTACAGAGACTGATCAAACTCATGTGGAGGTAGTTGACGGCGTTAATCAGGACAATCACATTGTAATCAGCAGTGGTAGCAGTACTGGTAGCAGTACTTCAACAGTTACGACCGAAGTGGCGACTAATCAAAGGGGAAACCAAAATGCGTTAGGCGGTAAAGCATTAAATGGAGGAAGAGGGGGTTCCAGGAAGGGTAACGGAGGTCGAAATTGGGGAGCAATAACAGTGAATAGAGGAGATGGGGAAAGTAGTGAGGAAATACTTAACACCTGGCCACAACAAATCCGTAACAGATGTAATATATACAGTATCATACGAAGAGGGTGTCGCAAGAAATATACATATCCATTTTACTCTGTGAATGATGCAAGCAGATTCAAGGCCATTCCATGAAGGACACAGTTTATCAATGAGTACAATAGACTGAACCTGCTTATTATGACATCAATGCTTTTGCACACGATACTTATCGGTACCGAAGATACAGAATTTCGCAAATTTGGTAATGAGAACGTACGCGTTGAATGTGACGTCACGGATGTAGTGCTTTTTTATTGGTGGGAAGTAGGGCAAACCGCAATTGGCCACACATTTTCAGGCCGTTCTACTAAAACTGAATGGTAGGCCTATAAAATAATAGGTTTGCAATTGAAGTATTTGATACTAGACCTACATGCGCCGTTCAGTGCGTTGGTATCGATAGGTATTGTGTGCAAACATAATGATGGCGCAATTTAGTCTGTTTAGTTTAAGTATAACACATCGCTAACATACCAAGCAATATGTCGATATGTACTATGAAGCTTTAATCAAGTCTGCCTACAATAGTGAAAAATACTGCTACTTTCTTAGTCGTATATTCTGTGATCATCACAGAATTCTAATGGGGTTTAACACGGTGCCTGACGTTTCCCCAACCGCATGTAACCTCCATTGTATTATTAGGTTAGGAGTTTTAGTAATATCGATTAATATCAGTTTATATCGATTAATGTATTTCTATTGGCGATTTTTTTTACTAGGCCTAGACCACTATTGAGTGTGTACTATGATACTTGCATAGAATCAGTTTGAGTAATTGACATTTCATACTGAATCATTTATATACAGTAGTAAATGATTGTGTTTTGTATTATAGAGCAGTGATAATCAGATGTGTATTCTGACTGAGGGACTCTCAGAACTCAGAAGATAGCATTATCTGACAAACTATGACGTAGCTTCCAGGATTTCTTAAATCCGTAACTGGCTACAGTCCAACCACCTTTTGGCTTAACTTTACGACAAAAATGTAGGAGTTGCTGCTTCTTAAGCTAGTCTTGATTTTGCAATTTGTTTTGTACTACTTTTATGAATGTATTTCTATGAGATACTATACACAAATATTAATTAATAAATAAATATTCAAATACACAAATAAAGCGGCACTGCATCTACACAAGCCTAAATCTGGGTACCCTCTGCGCCGGCCGGACGCAACGGGACGTGAGGCACGCAATGGATCATTTTTAATGACGATCTGTTCAGTCTGTCATCGACAGTAAACAGTGTTGTGTCGTCAAGCAGTCACAGAAAGTTGGAGGTGGATCGTTGGCCGACGTTCGTACGACGCACTGTGTACTTGCATAAAAGAACAAGGAACTAACCCTAGATTACGTCATCAGTACATTATGGCTGTAACGCATTACTCGTTAGGCATTACGCGCTAAAGCGTTGATGACGTAATTAAAGGGCGTTATTAGTTTTATTTTTTCACATTATAGTATGTTGCCTTTTTCGCAACATCCGAAGTGATGTTTCATTGATTTTGTATTATGATATTAAAATAAAATTGTTTATAGATAATTAAATAATGAAGGAAACTTAGAGTGATGTACTTACTATCATATCAAGAAAATCGTGGATATGGAAAGAACAAAAATCAAAACGAAATATAAAACATCAATATTTTAATTGATTTGTCCGAATAAAAAAATATGTACTTTTCCCTTTAAAAACATTACAATCTTATGGCGATTGGACCCGCCAATCTGAATTATACTTAAACTTTTATAGGCATCTGTTTTACTGGTATCGTGAGATGATTTGACAGAGGAGTGTCATTAGGTTATTTGGATATTTATTTGGGCGGATTGTGCCAATTGCCACAGATCGGACGTCTATGATGACCGATTTAAATTATAGTTATATCTTCATATCATATACACAATTTAATCATAATTGGTATATACTATGTATAGGTTTACACTCTTAAATTTTAAAGCTATCTTTGGATATTTTATAAATTTAGTTATCAAGTTTAATAATAATAAACACAGTAACAACAAAACAACCATAACAATAATAACAGAAAGAGCGATAATAACATTAACAATAATTATAACTATATTATTATAAATATAATAATATTAATATATTTTAAATGGTTGATGATGGTCTTTCTATATTCCTAGTGTTCGTGTTAGTCCATAATTGAAGTAGGGCAAAGTATAATTACCATAAGCACAAGTCAATCATCGTGATAGGCAATGGTCACCAATATTAAGTTCACTGATTTATCTCCAACACCGAATTCGCAACTTTAACTTTTTAATGCCAAATGTGATGGGAATCCTTAAAAACTAATTTTTTAATCCATTGGGGATGTAAGATGGTACTTGATAATCCGTTTCAAATCACATGCCAACAGGAAGATTTCATTGACGAAAGATCCTTTCAAAATGGCATCCTTCCCAGACCAAGTCGTCATATGAAAGGCGGTACATGTTTAAAGGCCAATGGGCGTGTTTTGAAGTATTGCATATCCAATCATGGGGTGGATAGTCCGGATGTTTTTAACGTAGAGGGACGAATACTTCCTGAAAATTGATTATGTCGTCAATAACTCATGGGAATGACAATGCTTAAGACAAATGATTGCATTCTTGATTATATAAAAACACATTTTTTTTATGACAAACCTAGGAATAAACCGACCACATACAAAGAGCCAGAATCCACATGAAACGGTTGAGAGTAGTACGGGACATCCTGTTACGGACCATGCTGGTTCCCGAGTTGATCCATCCCTGCGGAATGTACGTGACGTATTATATGTTAGCATCAGTGCGCATAAGTCCTTCAATTCATGCACACACACGCATTGAGTCTGTCTGGGCGTGTTGTTACTTTGTGTTATCAGAAATATAATGAAGATTAGACGAGGTATGATCGATAATAGAAAATGTAATTTAAACTACAATGAAATCAGGAATCATATTGTTACTTTGTAACAATTAATAATGGTGCCATTATGTGTGTACATAATCATTACCAATGAGAGCATAATGCAGAAATGATGGTAAAAAATATTGAAAATATTGAATAGGCCTAATTTGAATTGATAAGATATCATATGATAAAATAGGCATAACCACAAAAATGGAAATCATAAAAGAAATACAAACGAAAAGTTTATAATCTCAGCTTTAGCAAAGTTTTAATATGTACAGCACAAATACAAAATAAAAACAAGATCACAACAAAACGTATTTACATTACTACACACGGTTTATAATACATATATTTTTCATTCATATCCACACAGACCTTATACCATAATTGTCAATATCAAATGTTTTTTATAATAGATTTTAAAATACTTTTTTTTTGTTATTATATACACGTATTTGTATAGGCCTATGGAATATTATAATGGCTCAAATTCATTCCTTGCTACCTCTCGATTGAGAACAAAGTTTAATTGCGTCACACTTTCTCGGACTTCCACCACATGGGCACTACTGATGTATCCTTCCGCCATAACGTTTATTGTATATGTGCCTGGTAACAACAAACGCCAATATTCACCGTCTTTTGCTGCAAAGAAAACAAAAAATACAAATTCATAGAAAAAAGGTGTATATTTACATCGTATTTGAAGCAACATTAACAATAAGGTTAATTATATAATAATTATGAGGATGATTGTATGAGAATGATAATAGTAGTAATATTAATGATTATTGTTAATAATGATAATATATTCCGAAGTGTCCACTGATTAATCTCAGATAAGATAGTATAATACATAGGCCTACTCCAAGTATCGAAATACACGCCATTGTGTCGGGATTCAATATTTCGACATTAATTATGTCATCATCAGGAATGAAAAACTATCCATATTTGCAAGCTTATATGCACAATTACCAACAGTGTTTGACCAATCAAAACATTACCCCTAGTAGGTGACATAGTTATGAATAAACTAAAGATCAAAGCATTCTTATCCTACTAATAATATAATATACCGGTATTCGTTGAATGTTTATGGTCAATTTAGTATTACTTTTATAGATTACCATCAACACCACCATCACCGATCACCGGTCATGAAAAAAGAACATGCGAAGTACAAATGTATTCTCACTACTTTTGGGATGCAATAATACATTTTTTACATGTCTGGGCTTACGGCACAAGAAATACAAATTAGGACATATTGGGAACTATCTATAAATCAAGTCTGATTACAGCATTATTTTAAACGTGATTTAACATTTTAAGACATAAACTAACTTGTTGTGACGTCATGGTTGATGCCCGGTCCTCCTACGTGTACAACAGCGCCCTTGATGGGTGTCTCATCTTGGTTGAATACAAATCCTTTGATCCCAATATGAATCTTAACATAAAAAGGGAAAAAAAAGATAAATGTGAATATGTTGCAGGTAGACAATAATGGTTAACTTTCGATTACATTACGACGATAACATGGGACGTAATGACGTTACATAAGTGTTTCTGCCCACGCGACAACATTATGTTATCGTCTGAATAGAGAGGAGGTGGTTTTAGCCGAATCACAGACGATGAATAAAATCAATTCGGGTCACGTAGTTACACAATCGAAAACTGCTTAGTAAAGTAGTAGAATTAATTATTGATTACACGCACGTGTGCATCTTGTATTTCACTGACCGCCTACTCACATGCGACGTAGTGCTAGGCCAATATTGTGACGGCAGACACATTACAAAATGGGAAGGATTTAATTTCCACTTGATACCAGGATTCACCACAATACCTTCGAAATCAAGTGGCTGACGTCCACCATGTATATATTTACTAACCGTATACCTATATGGCGTTCTAACTCAGAGTATCACAGTACTTTAAATAGGCCTAATCATTGTATGCGAAAAGCCCCTGTTTCGAGTCCAGGGACATTTTTGTTAACTTCTTCAAGTCTATAGTCCTGATACCGTGATTGTGGTGGTGGTGTAGTAGTCGTCGATGATGTTACAAAACGGTCAAGGCGGACACTGACATATTTTTTGAAGGAATTCGAAAAAAAAATAAAATAAAATAAAACCTACGTGATACATGTACGCAATGAGGGCGTCCTTGTTGTCAAGCCATTCCTGCTTCAATCCAGATTCTGGGGAAAACTTGATACAGTCCAACTCCAGAGTAATATCAAAACAATTCGTGTGCAGATAATCAAAATCTTGAAGACCTAATCAAAAAGGCATTAAGAAACGAATTAATTATTTAGAATATTATGTTAACTGCATTAAGTAAATAAGTACATACATACATATACATTATATAATATAGGCCTACGTATATATATATATATATATAATATATATATATATATATAAATAAGAGTGTCACCCTTACTTGAGGAAGATATATATATATATATATATATATATATACGTACGCCCTATATTATATAATGTATATATAAGTATGTATATATGCACGTATTTACTTATTATGAAAATCTCAAAATGTTGAATATCTTGTCAAAAAATAAAGAACAGAATTAGCAATATATTTTAAATGTATTATTAGGCTCTATACATATAAATATAACTAATCAAACTAATCCCGACAATTATAAGCCTACCATTCAACCACCCACAAATAATGTAAGTATTGAATACCGTACATAATATACCATGTACAAACTTAAAAGACTGAATGGGGAGTATTAATACCACGACTCCTTATAATTGTTATGTAATATGTAACAGTATAGTAGTAGTAGCAGAAGTAGTAGAATCAGCAGTTGGTAGTGGTAGGCCTAGCAGCAATACCAGCAGCAGCAGCAGTAGTAGTAGCAGTAGTGAACAGGGCCTAGTAGGCCTAATAAAAGTATAACAATACGTTGGCCTGCTAGAAGAAGTAGAAGCTAGTGACATATACATATAGGCCTATTAAGTTTACATAAGTCTATGCAAAACAGAATAATATCAAATTAACCTACCTCCGGCTACATTATACCAGTGTGCCCCATTTGTAATTCCATCTTTAAAAATGCGATTGTATATTGAACATGCCCGTTTTCTGGTTGCCATGGTAGCATGACGACGCGAGTAGGCTAGCGCAAGATGCTTAAAAAGAACGTCATCGGGACTCATGGTGTAAGATGCTCTCTCGTCATTGAATCTTCCTGCATCAAAGGGGTAATTAGCCACTAAGTCTCCGTCATGCATGTTAGCAGATAACACAAAAGGATATTCCTCAATCCACTTTATGTAGGCCTTCACTTCGGGCTCAGGCTGTCAGAAGGTGAAAAAAAAAACATTGTAAATAAATGAACAATTATCGTCAAACATTATGAGCTATCCATCCAGCAAGTGAATTTGAGACCCGTTGGGTATTTTTACGAATGACTTAGGCCTAGTACTTAAAAAGTACAAGAAACTGCGATTACTTGCAACTTTACATATAAGAAACACTGCAGTACGGTACCGGTATTAGGAAGCAATTACAGTGGCTTTTAAAAGTTCATGTGTGTCAACGTAACAAAATGTAACCTGTATTCGTGTAAACACTAACGATGATATAATAAAATGCAGACTAGGAACATCGAATTATTGCTAGCACATAATTGTTATTATATCGTTCCAAAGACTAACGTGGCTCAGGTTTTCCTCAAAGTTTAATGACAATGTATTTGTTGGTTTTTTTTTCAATTTAAGATAGATAGAAAATTAATCTGGGCCAATAAAACATAATTATACAATACATTGAAATACTGTACCCCGTAATCATATATATCTTTGTTGTAGCCCAGGTGATGGTTTTGGCCGCCAATGATTTCATTTTGATACATGATTTGGTTTAACTTTGGGAAATCTCTGTTTAAATCGACGTTATTTGAATTTTCACGACCATACGAATCAACAACAAAATCCTGTGAAAAAGAAGTTGACATTTAATTAAGAAGGTATACGTATATATTTTG